TGGAGCCAGGTGCCTGGGACACATCTCCAGCTCAACACCCTCATTTGATTGATTGATTTGATTGATTGAATCACCACCATGAGATGCACAGTTACAAAGTTGTTCATGATTGGGTTTTAGTCAGACACTATTCTAACACTCATCCCTTCACCAGTGTGTATTTCCTACCACCAATGTCCTCAGTTTGCCTCTATGTAGGTACTTCTGCCCCATTTATCTCTCTGTCTCTGTCTCTGTCTCTGTCTTTGTGTCTCTGTTTCTGTCTCTGTCTCTGTCTCTCTCTCTCTCTGTCTGTCTCTCTCTCTCTCTTTCCCTTTGGACATTATGGTTTGCAATACAGATACTGAGAGATACTGACTATCCCTTTACCTACTTTTGACACCCGGTTCTTGTCCAGAGTGAACATTTCCAACTGTCGTTGCCATAGTGCATGGCGGTCCCTTCTCTGTCCTCACTGCCCTTAGCCTCCCCTGTCCCCGTCCCCCAACTTGTGGCAAACTTCCAACCGTGGACCAGTCCTCCTGGCCCTTGTTTCTACTGTCTGTGGGTGTTAGTCTCATAGTGTGTTTTTTTATATCCCACAAATGAGTGCAGTCATTCTATGTCTGTCCCTCTCCTTCTGACTCATTTCACTCAGCATGGTGCTTTCCGTGTCCATCCACATATGAGCGAATTTCCTGACTTCGTTTTTTCTGGTGGCTGTGTAGTATTGCATTAACACCCTCTCTTTCTTTTATTTTATTTTATTTTGCTTTTTTGGGTCACACCTGGCAAAGCATAGGGGTTACTCCTGGCTCTGCGCTCAGGAATTACTCCTTGCGGTGCTCGGGGGACCCTATGGGATGCTGGGAATTGAACCCGGGTCGGCCGCGTGCAAGGCAAACGCCCTCCCCGCTGTGCTATCGATCCAGCCCCAACACCCTCGCTTTCAAAGTAAAGCTGGAACCCGGAGCTTCAGCCTTGAGTGGGCCTGGGTGTTGGAGAGCTTGTTTGGACCCAAGACCAAGCCCAGCTGTGCTGCTCACTGGGGCGGAGGGATCCTGGGTCTGAGCGAAACAACCTCTCATGCACTCAGGGACCTGCATGGATGTGCACTCGTGTGCCTGCATGTGTGTGCAGGGGTGCTTGACCACAGTTGCCCTGGGCCTGTGTGAAAGATGGACCATGGTCCAGAAGGCGGCCAGCAGCCCAAGCTCTGCACAGTGCGGGGCAGCTGTGAGTCACCCCCAGATTGCTGCCTGCCTGCTCAGTCCCAGCCCGGGCTTGTCCCACGTCGAAGAGACAACCCAGCCTGCCTGCCCCCAGGCACAGGAGCCGCCGCCTCTGCTCGCGGGGGCCCCTGTTCCCCTTCCCTGGCTGTGGCAGGGTCGGGGTAGGGCTGGGGTGGGGACGATGCCAGGCCTAGTCTCCCCCTTCCCCTCCCCCGTGGCTGTGGGCTCCATTGCTGAATGGGCACCGGGCTTGTTCCTCCATCTTTGGGCTGTGCCAGGAGTATCAGGGCACTGGGCAGTCAGGCATGCAAACTGGGGTGGTCGATGCTGGCCCATGGTGGGTATCTTATACTGGCCAGGGGTGGCCCGTCTTCACTATAGATTTGTCTGCACTAGCCAGGGGTGGTCTCAGTGGCCAGCTGACTGTGGGTGGGTCCACTGACTGGGTGGGTCTGTCTACATGGCCAGGGCAGGGTCTGTCAGTGCTGACCAGGCCGCTGGGACCACTTGGGTCTTGTCCGACTGACAGGAACCTGGGGCCCATCTCTTTCCCCTGAGCCGGCTTCTCTTCATCACCTTCAGCCCCCGTTACCCTGTGCAATGCTGGGTGGACCCCCAGAAGGAGGCTTTTCCCTTGGGCTTGGGTGAACTCAGATGGGGCCCATCCTTGGCTTCCTCGGTCCCGAGTTCGGGGCAGGCACTTCTGGGCCACCCATTTCTGATTGGCAGATCCTGAGGGCCTGAGGCCCCCACACCACGCCCAGGCTCGGCCACTGACCTCGAGCTGACCAGATCCAGCTCCGTTCGGCATCCTGGGGCCTTGCTTTTGGGGGAGGCCCACCAAGAGCCGAGTCCCACAGACCCTGAGCGGATCCCACCTGAGCAGGCAGGCGAGACGCCAGGAGGCTGCTCGTGCCCCCTTGAGCAGCTGGTGTGGGCACCTCCTGCCCAGACACCTCTGTTGCTTCAGGTTTTCTTGCTAATGGAAAGCCCTGATGGACGCCTCATGCCACTTCTAGTCCATTTATATTTCGTCTGGTGGAAGGTTCTAGGCCGAGCCGCCATGGGGCGGAGATAGGCTTGGCTCTTCTCTGCCGTGTGCCGGTGGCTTGTCTGTCTCTGCAGGTGATCCAGAGCCAGGGCTGGACTTTCTGGAGCTCATGCGTGGGGCTGTGGGCCGGTGGGTCTGCGAGTGGGCTGTGTGTGTCTGTGCATGGAGCGCGCGCACGCGCGTGTGTGTGTGTGTGTGTGTGTGTGTGTGTCTGTGTCTGTGTGTCTGTGTATGGATCCGTGTGTGATCTGTGTGTGGAGCCGTGCAGGAGGCCGCATGTGCAGAGCTCGGCCACCGAGGCCCAGCCGCAGACAGAGCGTCTGCAGCCCGGAGCCCCGAAACGGCTTTGATGTGGAGGCGTGGGAACCCGCCGTAGGATAACAGCGCCGGGTTTGCCCCGAGCCTTCACGCCGGCAGGTCAGGCCGTGTGCCTCCAGCCCTGTCTGCGTCTCACGTCCCCGAGGCCCCCTGCGGACCCCGTGTCTAGACAGCAGCGCCATGAAATGCTCAATTAGCCGGTAGGAATTTGGCCAACACGGTATGGCCGCGCAGAGGCTGCGGCCCGGGAATGAGGCCCCGTCGGAGGTGATGTCTGGAGAGCTGCCCATGAGGGGCTGACCGGCAGCAGGGCGGCAGGATCAGAGCCCTCCCTACCCCCCCAGTGTGTCATCTCGTGAGAGCCTCTGCCTCTGGCCTGGCCTGCAGCCCTGCTGGTGAGGCTGTGAGCTCACGTCCACGTGTGTGGAAACCTGTTTCCACTTGTTTGATCAGCTGCTCTAATGAGACAATGGACTTTCAGCTGTCTACCTCAGTTTCCCCAACTGTAAAATGCGCGCGGGGCTGGGGGCGGGGGGGAGATTAGGTCTGAGCTCCCGAGGTGGCCTGGAACGGGCCCTGTCCCCCGGGAGGTGAGGGTCACCCCTTTCTCGGCCGAGGCTGTGTTCCGAGACCCCTGCACCCTGTTTTCTGTGTCCACCTGCTTCTTTCCGATGGCCTCTTGAGTGGACAATGACCTGGCCCACTGGGGCACGCGCGGATGACCCCCAGTGAGTACAGTGTTCTCCTCTTGGTCCAAGCGAGGATGGGTTTTGGGGGTGGAACTGGGAGTGAGGGTGCCGTGCCCACTTGTCCAGCCTTCATGGTCACTCAAGTGTGAGGGTCTCCTGGAGCTCGGAGCCCTGCACCTGCTGAGGGGTCACGGCTGCCCACGGCCCACTGCCCGCTGCCTCTCCCTGTCCCCGCACGGCTCCCGATGTGTTACCGAGGCGCGGCCGGGCCGACGTGGGCCGGGCCCACCTTTCCTCGCCGGGACTGGGCTCCTGGCTTGAGGCTGATGGAAGGCGGCTATTCTGGGCCAGCAGCCCGTGTCCCCCCACCCAGCCTCCCGCCCGGCCCCTCGGAGCAGCAGCGTGGCGGGCCGGGTCCCCTTGGGTGGCTGGTGCACGGGCCTGTCCGCCCTCCCGGGCTGAGGTCATCGCTGGCAGGGCGGCTGGCCCGGGCCCAGGGTAAACAGGCTGTGCTGGCCGGCCGTGGCCGCCGAGGAGCCGGGCGGGAAGGCTGCTCCCCCGCCAGAGGAGAATCCCACGAGGGGCTCCGGGACCCCGAGGGCAAAGGTCACAGTTGGGGCAGAGTCTGTAGCAAATTCTCGGGTGGACGCTTAGTTGAGTGCCCCCCCTTGCAGGGGAGCAAAGCTGACCTGTCCGTCCATCCCAAACGCCGGACGCTGTGACTCAGGCTCCAGGATGGGGCCTCTGTGGGCCTTCAGCTGGTCTCAGGTCAAACCAGTGTCCAGGCAGACTGGCCGCTCCGGGTCACTTCTCCAGATGTGAGTGCCCAGCCTTCAGCGGCCATGACTGAGGATGGGCTGTGTGCAGATGGCCTGGCCGGGTTGTGTGCAGGTGACCAGGCTGTGTGCAGGTGACCGGGCTGTGTACTGGTGGCTGGGATGTTTGCAGGTGACCGGGCTATGTGCAGGTCATCCCCTCGGCCCTGGTGTGTCCTCTTGGTCCTTCCTCACTCTCCCCGCTCTGGGATTCTGACGCAGCATCTCTGAGCAGCCACGTCCCTGCAGGGGGGTCTTGGTTGACAGCACGTGGGAGGGGTGAGTGTCTGGGCCAGGGGTCCCAGGGTTAAGTCCCCGCTTGAGGCCAGCTCACCGTCACTTGGAGCTTCAGTGTCTCCCTCTGTCCAGTGGGCCCAGTGTGGCCGTAGGTTCCCCCCATCGGGTTCCCCTCACTTGCTTTTTGGAGGTGTGAAGGTACTGCCCAGTGTCTGCACCGGGCCCAGGCTGGGTCTGTCTCTGGGCTCGGCCCTTGCTCTAGTGATGCTCCCTTGATGGGTGTGTGTGTGTGTGTGTGTGTGTGTGTGTGTGTGTGTAGTGGGGGACAGTGGCCGAAGAGCCTTGGGGAGCCTGGAGAGTTGGGGGGGTTCCCTGTGCAGGCTGGACCCCACTGGCTCTACATTCCATTTTAGTTTAAGGGACTTATGGGGGTCCTGGTCTTCCCAGGGTGTTGGGGGCCGTGGCTGGGGGGCTCGGGGGGCAGTGACGGTTGACACGGCCCCTATTCCTGCCACTGTCACCACGAAGTGATTCTGGCAGTGGGGCCTGGCACGGGGAGCCGGGCGGTCTCCTTCCCCTCCTCTCCACCATGCACCCTCCCCACTGCCCACCCCCCACCCCGTGCTCTCAGGGTCTCGCTGCCCCCTGATGGCCATGTCCCTCCTGCCCCCTGTTGCAGGGAAAGCTGCCAGTGCTCCTGCTGGGCCGCTCCTCGGAGCTGCGGCCTGGGGAGTTCGTGGTGGCCATCGGGAGCCCCTTTTCCCTCCAAAACACGGTCACCACCGGAATCGTCAGCACCACCCAGCGCGGCGGCAAGGAGCTGGGGCTCCGGAACTCGGACATGGACTACATCCAGACGGACGCCATCATCAATGTGAGTGGGCAGCGGTGGGCGGGGGGTGGGGGGGAGCCAGGCAGGGCCCCTGCCCGCACTCAGGACGGTGCTCTGAGCTCGAGGGTAGAGGAGGAGGAGGGATTCTGTCCCTCTGCACCCGGGACAGTGCTCTGAGCTCCAGGGCAGAGAGGATGGAGATCTGTGTCTCTGGCATATTCACGGCACTCCTGAGATTTCAGATCTGCACTAGGCATGGTGGAGGGTGGGATGGGAACCCATGTCACCAAGGGCTGACCTGCTGACCCAGGGAGAGGGGGTAGCACTTTGGCCGCTTCCTGGAGCGCGGGCTGGGCGCTCCTCCCTCCCGCCGGGCTCAGGTTCTCCCCACACAGCAGCCAGGGCTCGTTCCCCACCATCTGCTCCGTGGAATCTTCTCGTCACATTTTCCCTCCCCGGCAGCTGATCCCTCTGAGCTGACGTTTCTATAGTGCAAGAGTCTGATTCCTCCTCCATCTGTGCAGTGAACGCCTCGATTTTCCCCCCCAAACTTCCCCGAGCTCCGTCTGCCGTCATGGAAAGCGCACACGCCCCCACCCCCCTCCCCGCTGTGGGTTTCCAGCCCCGGCTGCAAGGCGGGCGTCACCCCGTGGGGCTGTTTTGGTTCGGACACTGTGCGTCTGGCCTCGTGGGTGGCTGGCTGGCGGTGAGGAAGGGCGGTGTTGGGTGTTTGGGTGTTTAGAGCTGGCTGTCGGGCTCTGGCGAAAATAAACAAAAATTCCACTTACGGCATGCCCGCAACTTTCTGGCGAATTTAGGGCTTTGTTTCCAGCGAAATATGAGGTTGACGGGGACCGAGCCCCGCCTGGTCCCCTAAACCTCGCTAGGAGGTACAATCCCTGAGTATAGAGCTAGGGGTAAGCCTGAAGCAACACTGGGCTGGCACCCCCTAAAATATAGTAGGTTGGGAGGAGGAAATCTCAGGACGAAATCGGCGACCCTCAGGCACCCATGGGTGGGGGAGCAGGTGAGACGCACGGGACCTAAACTCACGGTGTTTTTTTTCTCCGCTCCATTTCAGTACGGAAACTCGGGGGGCCCGCTCGTGAACCTGGTAAGGCTTCCTCCAGGGGCTCATCCCACCATGCTTGTTTTCTCTGCTAGCACCTCACCTAATGCAGTTACAGTGGGCTTTGAGCATGCGCATGGCCCGTCTTAGCTTCTCTGGAAAGAGCTGGGCATGCTGGGGGGGTGGATGTGACCTCTGCAGAGAGCTTTGTGTCCTGTTTTGTGTTTGTGTGTGTGTGTGTGTGTGTGTGTGTGTGTTTTCGGGGGGAACGTCCCCCCTCCTACCACCAGGCCCCCTGCTCTTGTAGGGCTGCTGGAGTGATTCAATTAACGTCACACAGACGTGCGCGGGAGGGAAGATCAAATTAAATGAGGGAGGGAAAGCAAATTAAATTATGCCTCGACGGGGAATGTGCACAGACCAGGATTCCGAGGCGGCGGGGAAATGGGGTTCTCTGTGCTGAGAGGAGGCAGGGGGAAGGGCCTAGAGCTGGGGGCAGAGAGAACCGTCTCGCAGGTAAGGACGGAGCCCCCAGTTGAGGGTCCGTACCTGCCGTGAGACCGGTTCCTCTGATGGAGGGCTGTGTTGGGCAGAGCCCTCGCTGCACGGTTCCCCGAGTTTCTTTCTTCCGGGAGGTCCCGCTGGGCGGTTTCTCAGAGCCGTGACTGATCTGCTCTGCCCATTGGTTCCCACCGGACAAGTCTGGTCTGGGGGTGGTGCTCTGCGTTTGGGGGCCTGTTCTAGGCGTCCTGGAGGGGCCTGTTCTACATATTCCTAGCCGGCAGCTACCGTGCCAAGCCGGTGCCCATCCGTGTCAGGCAGCTGCTGTGGGAGCAGCCCAGGCCAGAGGCATCGGGCTGCGGGGGCGCGCCAGGGGTCTGCATGGGGTAGTTTCCTCCTGTCACACTCAGGAGAATTGGCGTGTGGGCACCCTGCAGGCCCAGAGTGCTGGGAGCCTCGGTGCCCCCGAGGTGACAAAGTGCCTCTCAAAACCGTTGGATGCGCTTCTTGGGCACCGCCGGCCCTGAGCTGGCATCGCCTCTTTCCACTGAGCTCAGTGCAGTGCCCTACCCTACCTACACACACACACACACACACACACACACACACACAGAAAAATAGACTCACAGGCACACAGACACACACAGAGACACACACACAGAGAAACATACTCACAGACGCACAGAGATACACAGAGACATACACAGACACACACAGAGACACACACACACAGAAACATACTCACAGACACTCAGACACACAGACACTCCACAGTACAGATACACATACAGATACCACAATCACACACAGACTCGGACTGACACACACAGACACTCAGACACACACAGGCACACAGATACTACACACATACAGATACAGACAGACACACTCAGACACCCATAGACACACAGACATACAGATATGCACAGAAACACACAGGCACACAGACACCACACAATACAGATATATATACGCACAGACACAGACATACATACACACACAGACACTTAGACACATGGATACCACACACATAAAGACACACATACAGATATATAGACAGAGACACACACACAGACACACACACACAGAAACATCACAGGCACACAGAGATACACAAAGACACATACCGACACTCAGACACACAGACACACAGACACTCCACAGTACAGATACACATACAGATACCACAATCACACACACACACAGAGTCCCATATAGACACCACGTGCACAGTACACACAGACACACACACATACCCGTCCCTTTGAAGTGGCCCTGACTGGCTCATCCGGGTCTCCCCCGGGGGTCTGTCCCGGGGACCCCTGCTGAGCTCAGCGGGTCCCCTCACACTCTGCAGGATGGGGAGGTGATCGGAATCAACACCCTGAAGGTCACAGCCGGCATCTCCTTCGCCATCCCCTCGGACAAGATTAAAAAGTTCCTCACCGAGTCCCATGACCGTCAGGCCAAGGGTGAGTCAGGGCCAAGGTAGCCGCTGGGTGGGGGGCCCGGGCGTGACTCTTCCTCCCAGGACGGGGACCCGTGGGACTCTGGGACCCCGGCTCCTATACGTTCCTGCCACCGGACCCCTCGCGCTGGCCACGACTCTTGAGAATTCCCTTTCTCTTGTTACTTAGTGCAGCGGGCGGGGGTGATGGTCCTGTTTTGTGGATGAGAAGACGGAGATTCCGGAGATTGTTGGTCCCGTGGATGTCTCCGCAGGCTCCCACCCGACCTGCATGTTCTGCCTGGGGTGGGGTGACAGACACTCCCAGGATAGCATGCAGCCTTCTAGAAAGTGCACCAGTGACCTCCGCGAGTGGGGCTTCCCAGGGTGAGGCAGGCAGGGTTGCCTTTCACCGGCCGGAGCGCAGAAATGTTCCAGATTTGGGGCGTGTATTGGCATGTGGCCACGCCTCGCAGAACTGGGCACAGGGACAGGGTCTTAGACACGCCAGGCACATGCCCCTGAAAGGGAAAGACTCCCATGGCCCGAGGAGGCGATGGTGCAGCTGGGGTGGCTGTGGGGACCCAGCCCTGTGGTCATCCAGGCGGGGACAGTGCGAGGGGCTCACGTCCAGGGCCCCAGGAGGACTGGACCCCTCACCTGAGGGCAGCGTGAGTCATGGGAAGCAAGGCTCATGCTGGCCTCCTTCTCCGCTGAGTGGACAGAACTCTCTCCAGTCCCGCAGCCGAATGGGCTCTGAGCTAGGGTGCGCCTCGGTGTACCCTGGCGTCCCGGCTTCCGTGCAGATGTGGGTGAGGGGCGCCTGTCCTCACATGGCTGCCCTGACCTGTGCTATGCCCCTCTCGTCCCACCAGGCAAAGCTGTCACCAAGAAGAAATACATTGGCATCCGAATGATGTCACTCACATCCAGGTGAGTGACAGGAGGCGGGTCGGGATCATTGCCGTGCCCCCGAACTCCCCCTCCCCCACTCCCCCGGAGAGAAGCCTGTCGGCCAAGGCCCCTCGGCCCTGGGTGAAATCCAGGACATCAGGAAGCAGGAGGGACCATTGGCCTTTGCCCCGCGTTACTTCAACTCTGATTCCTTTTGGGGGGTCGAGTCGGGGGTCCTTCCTCCTAGAAGGCTTGCCTCCTCCCTGAAGGTGGGCCCGAGCAGCAGGCAGCGGCGGTCACTAGCCCTCAGCCTTCCGCTGACCCCTTGTTGTGCCGGCGCCCATGCCCTGCCCCGGCTGTGGGCGGCTCTGCCCTGTGGGCTTGGCGCGAGCGGGTGCCAGGCCAGCCCTCGTGAGCCCCGGCTTGCTTGTTTTCCTGAGCGCGCGGTCCTGCGTACGGCTGCCAGGCCAGCTCAGCGCTGTTTTCTACGCGCTGGAAACGCTGATGAGCTGGTGGGCAGACCCCTGGGGAGCAGCATGGGGGCCAGGTGCAGGGAGGAAGGGGACGGGCACTGGGAGGGAGGGAGCAGGGCCCAGGGCTTCTCTGCCAGCAGCCGGGAGCCTCCTCAGCCTCCACCTCTGCCAGCTGATGTGGGCAGGGGCGGTGGGGGACGAGCAGGGAGTGGACCAAGCCGGTTAACGTTGACGCTGCCCTGTAATTGGTGGTTCTCACCATCTGGGGTCGTCTGGGGTCGTCGTGAAATAAATCCTATTTTCTTTCAATAAGTACAAGTAATTTTTTTTTTTTTGGAATTTTCAGTAAGTTGAGGTCAGTGCAATAGCACAGTGGGTAAGGTGTGGGCCTTGCACATGGCCAACCTGGGTTCGATCCCCAGCATCCCATAGGGTCCCCCGAGCCCCATCAGGAGTGACTCCTGGGGCTGGAGCGATAGCACAGCGGGTAGGGCATTTGCCTTGCACGAAGCCAACATGGCCGACACAGGTTCGATTCCCAGCATCCCATATGGTCCCCTGAGCACCGCCAGGAGTGATTCCTGAGTGCATGAGCCAGGAGTAACCCCTGAGCATCGCGGGGGGTGGCCCCCACTCCCAAAATAGAAATTTTCAGCAAGTGGTTGACTTTTCAACAATCACTGTCACGGTCACTGTCCTCCTGTTGTTCATCGATTTGCTGGAGCGGGCCCAGTAATTTTGAGACTTGTTACTGTGTTTGGCATATCGAATACGCCACGGGTAGCTTGCCAGGCTTTGCCATGTGGGCGAGATACTCTCGGTAGCTTACCTGGCTCTCCGGGAGGGGTGGAGGAATCGAACTCGGGTCGGCCTTGTTAGCTGCATTCAAGGCAAACGCCCTACCCGCTGTGCTATCGCTCCAGCCCTTTTCAACAATATGGCAGGGTTTTTATTTATTTATTTATTTATTTATTGTGTGTGTGTGTGTGTGTGTGTGTGTGTGTGTGTGTGTGTTTTACCAAACTAGCCTGACAAACGATCGTTACATATTTGGTGGTATGGAGCATCCCATGGGACATGCAAGCTTGAGCCATGCTGACAGCCATGTGATAGAGAGTGTCAGGATTGGTTCTCAGGGTGACAGCCTGGTCACCAGTCCTGGGGATACACGCCTCGTTTTATTGGGCAGGTTCTGTCTGCACCAGGCACTGGGCCACGCGCTTTGTCCCCAGGCGATGGCTTCTAACCCTCATACTCCCAGCCCATAGACAACTCTCGTTCTCCCAGTGTGTCAGGGGGAAACTGAGGCCTGGAGAGACCACGGTGCCACCTGAGCTTGCACAGAAAGCAACAGCTGGGTGTCTGGATCAGGCCGTGTGTGACGAGTCTGATCCTGAAGCCACGGCGGTGACTAATCACGTGACTTGCAAGCACCTTGCGGGGACTCAGCCAAGTGGGCACCGGGCAGGTGACACTTGGCTGCAGAATCAGACTCTCCCAGGAACGGATGTCAGGAAGGGGAGGGGGAGAGCAGAGCGGGGGTGCAGGGGAGACCCTTGTGGCTTCACGCTAACATGTTCACTTTTGTTCCCACATAGCAAGGCCAAAGAGCTGAAGGACCGTCACCGAGACTTCCCGGATGTGCTTTCCGGAGCGTACATTATCGAGGTCATTCCTGACACCCCGGCAGAAAAGTGAGTAGTGACCACTTGCCCTGCCCTGACAGTCCTTGGGGTCTCCGGGAGGGGGTGACCCTTGCCAGCGCCCCCAGAGGTGCGCCCGGACTTTGGCCATTCTGGAAAGAGAGGAGGTGTGAGCTGAGTGCCTGGGAGAAGGCCTGGCTGGGGAACGAGGCTTAGGGGGCAGACCTGGAGACCCCCAAGTCAGGGGTTTCGTGCTAGACCTAGGGGGCGTCTCCCAACACCCCGCCCCTACGTTTGGCTCTGCCGCCAGGGAGCACCAACCAGGAGCCGGGGTGCTCTGCCAGCAGCCCAGCTTGACTGTTTGTGAGTTGAGTTACCCTTGGGGCTGGAGCCACAGTCCGAGGGGAGGACGCTGGCCCTGCATGAGGCTGGCCCAGGTTCAGTCCCCGGCATCCCATACGGTCCCTCAAGTGCTGCCAGGAGTGGTTCCTGAGTGTAGAGCCAGGGGATACCCCTGAGCTCCACCGGGTGTGACTCCCCACCAAAAAAAAAAAAAGAGGAGTTAGCCCAAACCCTAAGAATGATTCAGGGCATCCAACTTGCCCCTCTGCCTGCGTTGTAGGGCCTGTGGGCCAAGAGTAGAACCTTCATGGGGAAAGTTCAGGCATCACTGCATAGCATGAGCAGAGCCTGGCAAGCTACCGAGAGTATCTCGCCCGCACGGCAGAGCCTGGCAAGCTACTGAGAGTATCTCGCCCGCACGGCAGAGCCTGGCAAGCTACCCATGACGTATTCAATATGCCAAACACAGTAACAACAAGTCTCACGATGGAGACGTTACTGGGCCTGCTTGAGCAAACTGATGAACAACGGGAGGACCGTGACCGTGACCGTGATGAAAGTGATAAGAAACGCAGCCACCAGGCTTTGCAAGCAGAGAGTTTCTGGAGCACAGCTGGGCCTCCCGCAGAGCTCGGCGGGGACGGGGTGGGGGACGGTCATGCTCTGCAGCCTGTCCAGCTGTGATGGAGACCGGGGGACCTGCACAGCCTATGTGAATCCCTCGCTGGCCCTCGATGGAAGAAAGTTCGACCATCCTGGCCCACTCAGCACCAGGTGCCATTAGGACTTACCCTCGGCTCTTAGCTCAGGGGACCATATGGGGTGCCGGGATCAAACTCCGTCGGCTGCACGCCAGACGATGCCTTCCACTGTGCTCTCCAGTCCCCACTGTCCATCCGAGCTTACAACCTGACAACGACACGGTGCCCATGACAAGCCAGTTACCTCTTGGGGGTCCATTTGTCTTCCTGTCAGTCAGAGAGGCGTTCCCTTGGCCTAAGAGACAGGTCGCAGGGCTGGAGCGATAGCACAGCGGGTAGGGCGTTTGCCTTGAATGCGGCTGACCCAGGTTCGATTCCCAGCATCCCATAGGGTCCCCCGAGCACTGCCAGGAGTAATTCCTGAGTGCATGAGCCAGGAGTAGTATCTGTGCATCGCCAGGTGTCACCCAAAAATTTTTAAAAAATAAATAAATAAAAGTAAAAAAATCCTTGGGGGGCTGGAGCAATAGCACAGCGGGGAGGACGTTTGCCTCGCATGCGGCCAGCCCGGATTCAATTCCCAGCATCCCATAGGGTCCCCCGAGCACCACCAGGAGTAATTCCTGAGTGCATGAGCCAGGAGTAATCTCTGTGCATCACTTGGTGTGGCCAAAAAGAAAAAAAAAAAGGCAGGTTGCCGTGGGGGGCTTCAGCCAGGTGCTTCCCGGCAGGGGGACCCCGATGTGCACAGAACTCAGCCACCCTCTCCCTCTCCCTTCTCTCTCTCTCTCTCTCTCTCTCTCTCTCTCTCTCTCTCTCTCTCCCTCTCTCTGCTGCAGGGGGGGCCTCAAGGAGAACGACGTCATCATCAGCATCAACGGCCAGTCTGTGGTGTCAGCCAACGACGTCAGCGACGTCATCAAGAGGGAGACCGTCTTGAACATGGTGGTGCGCCGGGGCAACGAGGACGTCATGGTCACCGTGGTCCCCAAGGAGATCGACCCCTAGGCTGCGGCAGGAGCTGGACTTCGTGTTTCCCGCAAAGACTCCCGGGGCCCCGATGTGCGATGCCAGGGCTGCTGGGCGGCCGCATTTCTCGATGGGCAGAGACACCCCGACCAGCAGACCCCTCCCACATCGTTGGCAGACGTCCTGCTGTAGACCCCCCTCCGCAGAAGCCCTGCCCCCGTGTGCTTGCTCGAGTCCCCTCCCTCAGACGACACCTCCCTTGCGGTCCAACCCCGGCAGGTGGTGGGACACAGTAGCTCGGAGGACGGTCCCCGGGAGCCAGAATGGTACTGGACGCGTGCGTGTGTCCCCAGAAGTCACGGGTGGGTGGACACCGGCTCCCCTGAGGACCAGTGGGGCCTCTTGGAGGCGTTTCTTCGGAATGGGGAGTCACGCGACTCCCGACTCGGGCCATTAAACTACTTCTTCATACTTGGCTTTCCGGTGTGTCTCCTCCCTTCCTCCCCCTCAGCAGTTAACGGCTGTCTTGGAAACGGGAGTGGTGTCAGTGGGGCCGTCCGTGAGGCGGTAGGGAGCCCGGGGTCTCACCATGGCTACAGAGTCGGCCTGGAGAGGTTAGCACGGACCACCACTCGCTCGCAGCCGCTCTGCCTCCAGGAGCTGGGTCTTGAGGACAGTTGTCCCAGCATCTAGAACCTCTCAGGCCCCAGGAGGGGCACCCGGCTGCCCCGTGCACCAGGCAGCCAATCAACAAAAGATTTTTGGGATTTCTGTCCCGTGTCAGGCGGCTGCTGAGTGCAACCGGGGTCACTGCCAGGGCGGACACCAGTCTCCTGCCTGGAGCACAGGCTGAGGTCAAGTGCATCCCTGGAAGGAACAGGGTTCCAGAGAACAGGACACGCCCTCCTGCTGGGCTGTGGCCTTCCTTGCAGAACGGGGGCTGACGGTGACCCCCGTCCTCCTGCTCGAGTGCGGGGGGGCCTTCCCCATGTCCGGGGATGCAGGTGCCCCGGGAAACAGCTCAAGGAATGAGCTACGTCCACGAGAAACGTCCAGCGGTTTGGGAGCCTGACTCAGGAAGTGCCGTTGCAAAACTCAAGCCGGGAAGTTCATGTAGGCGGGAACGAGGACGCTGTTTAGGGCAGGGCTGAGGCCATTGTTGCGTCCCCACGGACAGCTTCCCCCCCTCCTCTGCCTCCCTCCTCCCCTCCTGCTCCCGCTCCCCCCCACCCCGCTGCTGCCCTCTGCCCCCGTGGGGGCCGGGCCCCCTCCCGCGCCCTGGCCTCGCGTGCCTGGGCCCCGTCCAGCCTGGCCAGATGCTCCTCCCAACCACGCTCCTTGACATTTTTTTTTTCCCCCCCACTGGCCGCTGCTTCTTGGCCCAGAAAGGCAGCCAGGGGCGGGCTGCCAGCAGCACCTCGGGGCCCTGCCGCACCCGACTCTGATTTCAGCTTTGCTCTTTGCACCTGCGGAAACCTTCGTCGTCGTGGCTCCGTTTTCCACGACTGCCCACTCGGCTCCGTGCCGGGCTCTGCTCCCCATGCCCACTCGACCTCTGCCCTGCTCCACAGACCGCGGGAGCAGTGCGCCTGGCTGGGGTGATGGGGGCTGCTCAGGGAACCCCCATTGCTCTCCCTCGCCCGCTTCCCGGGTGCGTGTCCAGGCCAGTGGGTGGATCCAGATCAAGGTGCCTGAGAGCTCCCTGAAGGTGGGCAGGGGTGGGGGTGGCCATCCCGGAGGGCTTGGCAGCAGGCTGTGGCTGGCGCTGCCTGGCACACAGTGAGCAGGTAGGAAGTCTCCAGCAGGCATGCCGAAGAAGACTCCCTACCTATGGCTCTGGCATCATCACGGACAGGCGTCAGGGGGCTGCTTCTGTCCCCCGGGGCCTGCGGACCTGCGTGCCAAGTCTCGGCTTACACTGTGTCCCCACCAGGCCCCTTCCCGGCTCCACTGCCGGCTCCCTTGGTCACTAGCTCTGGTCATGAGACGCGGCCCTCAGCCGCCGGGACCTCCAGGATCCCAGGGTGTCTGCTCGGAAACTCCCCCGCTATTTTCTGCAAAGGTCGTGTGGGTGGTTGCTGCGCCCCCTGTGCCTGGCATTCCCCAACCCCACTGCGGGCAGTCCCCAGCTCCCCGAGAGAAACCACCGGCCGCCCAGCCAGTGCTGGGAGCCTGGAGGTCTGTGTGCCGGGCACGCGTCCCAGGCCCAGCTTTTGCGGGGTGCAGGGCCCGTCTGGGGCTCCCGCAGGCAGCCTGGCCCGGCCCTGGGGGTTCTGCATCTGGGCCAGCTGTGCTGACTCAGCGCTGGGCATGGGGGTGGGCCGGGGCCCTCCCAGATGTGGGCGGAGGCCGCCCGGGGAGCATCTGTCTTCCTGGAAGCAGTCGGCGCCTCCTTTAGAACTTCTAGAAGGGATTGTCTCAGGGGCTGCCCTGACCCAGGAAAGCAGACACGATGGCCGAGAGGCACTACAGCGGGCACGGTCTCACCCCTGGCACCTCTTGTGGTTCCCTGAGCCCCGCCAGGCATGAGCCCTGGTCACTGCTGGGTGCAGCTGAAAAACTGTGGCACTGTAGCGCTGTCCTCCCGTTGTCCATCGATTTTGCTTGAGCGGGCACCAGTAACGTCTCCATTGTGAGACTTGTTGTTACTGTGTCTGGCATGTTGAATACGCCACAGGGAGCTTGCCAGGCTTTGCCGTGCGGGCGGGATACTCTCGGTAGCTTGCCGGGCTCTCCGAGAGGGGCGGAGGAATCGAACCCGGGTCAGCCCGGGTCGGCTGCATGCAAGGCAAGTGCCCTACCCGCTGTGCTATTGCTCCAGCCCAGCAGAAAAACAAAGAAAAATGAAAACAAAGAAACATGGACAAACGCCTTGTCAGTGTTCCGGAGACAAGCCAGACTCTGTGGAAATGGCTTCCAGTTCAGGGGTCTCCCTGAGTCCAGAAACTGCCTGGTTCTCTCCCCTGCCTCCTCCTCCTCCTCCTCTGCCCCGCCCCCATCTCACCCCTTGAGCCTTACCGCAAATGTGCTGCAAACACATTGTTCCACAGCGTCTCATGGGGTCGACACTGTCCAACCCCCCCGTCTTTTTCACAGTGAGGAAGGCCCAGAGCAGCCGAGGAGGGAGCCAACAGTCACAAAGCAAGGAGGAAGATAGAGAAAATGACGTTCAGGACTCGGGTCTGGCTTCAGAGCCCTCCCTCTCCCTCCTTCTCTCTGTGTTTTATTTGGGGGCCACACCCAGCAGTGCTCGGGAGGGACGATCCTGGCCCTACCAGGCTCGGGAGACAGCAGGGATGTACCTGACCCCGTGTACCCTGACCCCGTAGGACTCTGCCTGGCCAGCCCTGCTCACTCCCTCACACTGTCCAGAGCCAGTTGTGGGGTTCGACCACCGTGACTGGTCGGTGGTGGCGGCCATTGGTCATGGCAGGCGCACCCTGCGGGGCGGTCACTCGGGCTGCGTGTGGAGAGCGGGGGCTGACGGGGCCCCACTTGCCCGGGAACCTAAAACTGCTCTTTAATGAAGCTACCGGCCCCGACCTCTCCTCTCTGCCTCACGCGCTCTTCGGCCCACAGCAACGCGGGGCCTGAGCCCCAACCCCAGGACCCTGACGGCCCTTGACAGACCCTGACATCCCCCGATGACTTCCCGTGGCCCCCAACATCCCCCCATGGCTCCAACAGCCCCTGACATCCCCCAATGGCCTCCCATAGCCCTTGATGGCCCCTGACAGCCCCGACAGCCCCTGATGGCCCTCAACACCTCCCCATGGCCCCCAACGGTCCTCAATGGCCCCCGATGGTCCCTGACGGCCCCTGACAGCCCCTGCTAGCCTCTCACAGCCCCAACAGTTCCTGATGGGCCCCCAACAGCCCCTGACAGCCCCCGATGGACCTCAATGCCCCCCCATAGCCCCCAATGGCCCCCGACGGCCCCTGACAGCCCCTGACAGCTCCTGATGGCCCCTGACAGCCCCTGATAGCCTCTGACAGCCCCAACAGTTCCTGATGGGCCCCCAACAGCCCCTGACGGCCCCTAACAGCACCTGATGGACCTCAGTGCCCCCCCCATGGCCCCCAACGGCTCCTGACGGCCCCTGACAGCCCCTGATGGTCCCTGATGGCCCCTGATAGCCTCTGACAGCCCCAACAGTCCCTGGCGGGCCCCCAACAGCCTTTGACAGTCCTTGATAGCCCCCCAATGACCCTCAACATCCCCCCCCATTGCCCCTGATGGTCCCTGATGGCTCCTGACGGCCCCGAGGGCCCCTGAGGGCTCTGTTGTCAAGCCCGGGAAGGGGAGCTGTACCTGCCACCATGCAGAGATGTCCACTAGGGGGTGACCTAAGCTCAGGAACTCCTGGGTGGGCTCCTGGGGAGGGGCCCAGAGAGCAGGCTACAGGCCTGGGGCGGGGTGGGCGCTTCCTCCCACAGACCATCCAGGGCGAAGGGTGGGCGTCAGGGAGCACCTCCCATTCCCACGCCCCACGCCCCTTCCCAGCTCCTCTGCCCCAGCCACACCGGCCCCCTCTCTCCCCGCCTGGCCGTGCACCCGTCAGCTTGCTAAAGCCGGGAAGGCAGGACATCGAGGCAGCCCAGCCTCTGCAGTAGGGCGGGGAGGTGGGCAGAACTGAAGGTGAAGGGGTGGGGGGAGGCGGGCAGGCCCCCGCACACAGGTGCCCCTGCCCTCTGCTGCTCTTTGAGCCCCAGAACCCCACCCCCCACCCTGCGACTGGCCCTCCCTCTCACCTGGGTCCCAGGGGCGCCTCCTTCCTGTCCTGCGCTTCAGCCCCTCTGTCTGCCCCCCGCCCCCTGCCCAGTCTCAGGGCTCGGTCCTCCCTGTGAGCACAGGGGAGACTCAGGGCTCAGAGGCCCGGCCGCTGCATGTGAACAGCACATGCGGGACCCTGGGAAAGCCCCCCACCCTCCGGGGTCCCAGGGATAGGTCAGTTTCTCAGGGGTCTGTGTCAGGCCTCCTCTGATCCCAGCCACGCCAGAGACCCCTCGTGCTTTACGGGGATCTGAGTAAGCCACCCACTCCTTCCAGGCACTCCGAGAAGCCTAAACCTCCCTGTCTTTAGGGCCTGGGGCTGCTGCCACTTCCAGACAATGGGGTGAGGAGAGGTGCGCGTGTGCGTGCCTGTTGTGTATGTGTGCATGCATTCATGTGTGTGCTTGTGTGCACATGCCCGTGTGTGTGAGTGTGTGCATGTGTATATATGTGTGTGCGTGTGTGTACATGTGTGTGCATGTGTGTACATGTGTGTGCGTGTGTGCATGTGTGTGCTTGCATGTGTGTGCACATGTGCATGTAGGATAGCACTGGTGTGTCCTTCCTCCCTTGCCACAGGGAGCTCAGGTTCACTGAGTGACACCCACACAGTGCTCCCCGGGCACTCCCGTTCCCCTGTGTTTGTCTGTAAGTTCTTTCTTTGTGCTCTGCTTCCCCAACCTGTCAATCACTTGGATCCCC